ACATCTAGGAGTTCCCTGTTCAAACCTCAACCATAGGATGAATCCATGGCATGACAACAGTAGGACTTGATAGTCTCCCTCCTAGTTGGTCCACTCTTCAACCCGTAGTTTCCCGAACTACGTTTGCTCTGATCTTTCATACCAGATGAAAGTACGTAGGCATAGGATGTGATATCCTAGCGAGCAATCTTTCCCCCATAATCCCCCGTAGTTAGGCGAACTACGTTGACTCTGATTTCTCATTCTCTGATGGGAATACGTAGGCATAAAGCGCGATGCTTTGCCGAGTCATTTTTCTTTTCTTTTTCAGCCAGCCCTGATAGGTAGATAGATTATAACCAACCCGTCCAAGTAAACAAACAAGCGAGGATCCTGTCGAGTACGACGGACGTGAGGGGTGCTAATACCTTCCCCTCGCGTAACCGACTCCCGAACCCAGACAATGGTTGCGATGACCTTGTCTTACCCTTATTCGTCAGGTTTTTCCGATCGTTTCCTTTCCCGCTCTGAGGGATAAATAACGAAAGGTGGCGACTCTTCTGTCAAGCCGGCGCCGATTTTCGCAGTAGCGACAAGTATGGTGCATTAGGAGTGAGATGTTTTGGATATATGTCGTTGTTCTTGATTGTTTAATCATGATTTCATCGACACGCGTGTTCGTTTTCTACTTGAATGCATGCTTATGGATGTGGTTCAAAGTGATGATCATTTGCATTGTTGCCTTTGCTTGCATTGCTTGGTTGAGATGTGCTTGTGGTGGCTGCTGTCCCACATTTTTTTCCTCCCATTTCATCTCATTTTTGTTTCCTTTGTGCTTGCATTTTCATGTTTGCTTGCCTTCTTGCATTCCTCTTTTGTGTTTTGCATCTTTTTGCTTGATGTTAAGAGGTCCAGATGCGCTTGTGGCGACTGCTGCCCCACACCTTTTTCCTCGCTCTTTGCATGTTTATTCTCCATGTTTGCATCTATTATTTGTGTTTGATCTCTCTTCTTTTGTCTTCCTTTGCCATGTTCCCTTAGGACTTCTAATCTTTCTTGTTCAAGATGGATTATGATAGACATTAGGTTCAAACCATGCATGCTAACATTAGGGTAGATTTTCCCCTCTTTAATCCAAACTTTAGGTCCACTTTGCATGACAACATTAGGACCGAGTTTTCCTTAGACCTTTCGTGCGTCTCTCTTCTCATCTCAAAACACATTCTAACTCATCTAATAAATACGATGAACATTGTGGGCTACGAGCCTTAAGCACATAGGGAATGATGAGTGAGGGGTCTCCTCTCGCTTGTCTAAAGTGTTTAGTGTACGTCCCGTTTGAGGGCGATATGAGACACATTCGTTCCTATGTCATAGTCTTTAGTGCAACGTGAATCACAAATTAAATTAATTCACTTCACTAAAAAACACAAACAAAACACTAAACCTTTTTATCCTTCAGGATTAGTGGAAAGCCATTTTCAGAAAAGAATGTTGTTAAGCTTCGGTTCTACTGCAAACAGGCATGGTCCCTAACTGCTAGAACGGAGGTTTAACCCTACTCGATTAAAACACTTAACCAACCTGTGGTTTCGTGTCATCCCGAACTACGTTTGCTCTGATTTCTCGTACCAGACGAGGATACGTAGGCACAAGACGACGATGTCTTGGCGAGCAACCTTCCCCACCTTCACCCGTAGTTTTCCGAACTACGTTGACTTTGAATTTCCCATTGCACGAGGGAATACGTAGGTATATAGCGACAGTGCTATATCGAGTCTCTTTTATTTTCTTTTTGTCCTGTGAGCCTGCAACTTAGATAGATAAACACACCCTTTGATTAGACAAAAAGCGTGGATCCCATTGAGTACAACGGACGTGAGGGGTGCTAATATCTTCCCCTTGCGTAACCGACTCCTGAACCCAAGATTTGGTTGCGATGACCTTGTCTTTTCCCTTTTTCGTAGGTTTTCTTTGATCGTTTCCTTTCCCTCTCTTTGGGATAAATAACGAACGGTGGCGACTCTTCTATTTTTACGCCGGGTGTTTTCGCAATTGCGACACATAGGAGGAGATAAGGGAAATGCTTTCAAACCAAGACGTTTCATACATTGAATTAACACAAAAATGTGTTGCTCCACAATTAAACAATACAAAACAAGGATGACCATTTACGTGACCTGTACCAGCAACCAAAGCATTGTTACCCTTAGCCTTTTTTGCACCCAAAGTATAAACATGACTAGTACTATTTCCTTGCATATGATTCTTATTTTGAGGATAATTCTTAGCCACATGACGTTCTCTTTGGAACTAATAACATCTAAATCCTATAAGGTTACAGCTTCCAAAATGATTCTTATTACACCTATGGAAAACAGAAGGAGGGGGTAGGTTTTACATTATGCACTTATTTCCCTTTGACAGGTTGAGGTCTAGGCCTAAATTGATAACTTGGTCTTCCCTATTACTTCTAACCAACCATATACTGGTCCATTTCCTCTTGAACCTTCTTCAAACTATTCCCAGCTACATGTCATTGTCTTAGTGATTCAACATAAGTAGTGAATTCCCTCTGAGAAACACTATGGGATATTTCACCCCTCAAACCAAACAGAAACTGATAAATCTTCCACTTTTCATCTAGTTCATAAGTAGCTTGCCTAGAGTAAGTAACCATATCTTCAAACTTTTCAGCATACATATCTATTGACATAGTACCCTGCCTAAGCTGCTGAAATTCAAATTCTTTATGAGTCCTCAAAGTGCTAGGAAAATACTTGTCCAGAAAAGTAGTCTTAAAATGTTCCCAATCCATGTGTGCTCCTTAATTAGTCATTAGAGTCGAAGCATTTTCCCACCATCTCACAACAGTACCCTTTATCATGTGAGAAGCAAACACAACCTTATTCTCTTCAATGCAGTGCATTATCTAAAAAATCATGTCTATACTGATTACCCATTCATGAGCATTCAAAATATTCAATCCACCACGGGTCAGGAGGGTTCATGCAAAAGAAATCCTAGAAACTATCACCTACACCTTCTGGTTGAAGTGGAACCACTTGAGGATAAAGACCACCGTTTAAATGTTGCATCATCAGCTGCATGAATTGGTTATGTTGCTGTTGCATTTGTTGCACAAATTGAGGCCACTAAACATCTTCATTGCCACTTGGTGGTTCAGAATCTGAACTCTGAGTTATGGGTCTACCACGACCTATGCGTTTGTCACCTATGATTATAAACATCATACAAATAGAATTAAGTTGATCAAAATAAAGACTATAAATATGGCATCAAGAACAATGATGACAATACACGTATGCGACAGAAAGAATAACTCATATTTCATGGCTAGGTTGAGGATTCAACCTGCTTTAATACCAATTGTAACACCCATATATAATACATGTCTAGAAATACATATTATAGTTGTAATGTTGGTATTGAAATACATAAGTGTCTAGTGGCAACATTGTAGATATTACATGCCCAAAAAGAACTACAACCATGACATATATTATATACAAAGGTGCCTAAAATAAAACTAGGAACTAAATCATTATAGAATAATCTCAAAAAAGATATCTACACAGTGGAAAAAGTCATTCAAAACATCGAACAAGAAAGGACATCAAACTATCTTATCCTTAGCCATCACCTGCTCAGAACTAGATCATTATGAGCGTGTTTGGATGAAACATTTTAATGAAGAAAAATATTTTTTTGAGAGAATTTAAAATGATTTGACCAAAATCCATTGTTTGGATTAAAAATATAGAGAATTGTTAAAATAATGTTAATTTATAAAATATTTTATTCAAGTTAAATTTAAGGAATTTCAAATGACAAGAATTTGAAATTGCTCATTCACTCTATATAATGCAATTGTTAAATTGTTTATTATTAATTTTTAAAACTTTGTAAGATGGTTCTCATATTTTATGAAAATTTCAAGTACACCCCTAAAATTTTCAAAATTTTGCAAATAAGTTCTTAAAATTTTTCAAATTTTACAAATTAGTCCCTTAAATTTTTTTAAAATTACAAGTTGGTCTCTATTTTCTATAATTTAAATTTGATGCAAAAGTTTTAAATTTTATGAAAATGACCTCAAAAATATAATAGTGAATCATTTTAGTACTCCATCTAAAAAAAATAATTTAAAATTAAATGAATTTCAATTGAATCATTTGAATTGTTTAGAATTTTAAATTTCTTAAAAATTCTAAATTACCCCATCCAAACACATTGGATGTAGCATTTTAATGAAGAAAAATCTATTTTGAGGAAATTTAAAATGACTTGACCAAAATCCATTGTTTGGATAAAAAATCTAAAAAATTGTTAAAATTCATTGTTTGGATAAAAGAGCCTTAAATTTTTGATTCAAAACAACACAAACTTAAAATAAAATAAAATAATAAAGTTAAATTTTTTCAAAAGTTTTCAAAATTCATGAACTATTTGATCATTTTTAAAATTGATTTCTTAAATTAAAACTTTTGTAATTAAGTTTTCAAATTATTTTACGTTTTTTTAACAAGTTCTTCTCTTTAAGCAATGTTTGAGTTGCATATTGTATCATTTATATACGTGTTTATTTAAAATATTAATTTAATAATTCATTTAACATATTTTTAATCATACAAGAATAAATACCTAATCATGCAAGGTAAATAATTAATAGGGTAATGCCAACTTTTTTTAATCATACAAGAATAAATAATTAATCATGCAAATAACTAATAGGTAATGTTAATTTGTATTTTTGAGTCACATGTTAAAAAATTTATAAATAAAAAAAAATATAAAAAAATAATAAAATCAATAATTATAAAATATTCATTAAATTTATTGTATAATTTTTAAAAATTATTTTCTATATTTATCTTTTGCGCTTAGCATTATCCTAACAAATATTACATTAATTGATTCGCGCTACACAAACCGAGGCATGCAATAATTAGTTTTTTATTTTTCCAATCAAATCTCCTATTTCGTTGCCGTCTCCGGCGATGGCATCTCCCAACAACCACCGTGAACTTATCCGGAGAGCCGCCGGCAGAAACAACCACCGGCCTCGGCCTGCCCGGCAACGATCTTTCACCGGAGATATTGAACACGTTGCCGCAGAGACTTACTTAATCACTCGCCTCGCTTTCACGCTTCTTCGATATCTCGGGTACTTTTATCGTTTAGCTTTTTCATGAGATTATTATTTAAGTTCTTAATTTTCTTTTTACGATTTCTTTTCATGAGATTATATACGTGCTGTATTTAATTTTTTATTTTGAGTTAAGTTAGCACCTTAGATAGAAAATTAAATTCTGATTTGTTATCTGTGGTGTGTTTGATTTTCTATTGAAATTCTATTCAGGGTTGGTTACCGTTGGATTATGAAATTACTAGCTCTTGGATGTTATGCCATGCTACTTATGCCCGGTTTTCTACAAGGTTTGTTGAGTACATTGTGCAGTTCCGCTGCTTTTGCATCTTTACTTTTTATCTTTCTCTTACTATTAATTTTTTGCAGTTGCGTATTATTATTTCTTCTCGAGCAAGGTAAAGCGGAGCATTGTTTATGGAGATCAACCTAGAAACAGGTTAGTTACTAGTAAATTTATCCTGTAATATCGATCATTCTGTGTGTATTGAGTGCCCAATTTAATGCAAAATATGGTTTTGCAGGTTGGATCTGTATCTACCTGCTGATATCAGTAAACCTAAGCCAGTTTTGATCTTTGTAACCGGGGGAGCATGGATTATCGGGTGAGTGGATTGAAAATTTGAAATATAAATATGGTTTTGTTTGCTTGAATTTAGGTGTTAAGCAAACTATAGTACATCCTTTTCCATGTTAAGCCTTCCCAATCCCATCTATGCAGTGCCATACTCTGCTGATTTTATAAGAAAACCATCCCAAACTGACCATGTACTTTTCATGTTCAGAATCGGAAGGAAACTTTGCGATAAAATTTTGAACAATTTCATCGCCTAAAGCTATAGTGCAATGATTCCTATGTTGTTGGAAATGCCATATACCTTAAAAAAGTGGCAAGCAATGTTGTTTGTGCTTTAATTCTTTACTTGGAAATATTATAACTACATGTTATAGATGTCAATTTAAACATACAACAGTACTCTTTGGTGTACATGGGACAACAAAATTTAACTGCTTGTGATTTTATAGCTTCTTCAATTAAGTGTACCTCACCTGGTGGCTGAAAATGAATATTGAAAATTTCAAGACTCAAGGGATTTAGTTGATTTAACAGTGAGTTTGAATTCTTTCACACTTTCTCATACCGAAAATAATTGGGTTGAAGCACCATGACGTGACAATAACTTAGTTGTGTATATGCATTTATACCTATGTTCATCTATCTATTATCATTTAATATAAATTGGTTTTTGTTGGATTTTGATTCAGGTATAAAGCATGGGGCTCCCTTTTAGGACTACAGTTGGCAGAAAGAGACATTATGGTGGCATGCATTGATTACAGGTACCTGGTCTAAGTCAAGAAGTGCAAGTTGAGTCTACAATTTACCTTTGGTCCGACTTCCTCTATGTTTGAGGTATTCTGGTGGACAAATTGGGTGCTTTGTAGTCCATTACTATTTTAGGGAATCAAGTCCTGGCTATTCATAAATTTTTCCTCACACTATTTCCTAAACTTAATCATACTCAGTGGCATATATTTTTTTTCGGTGTTAAAACTATTGTACATTACCCTAAAGATATCATGTCTAAAAGGGATGTTTTAAGGTTTTATAGTAGCTTAGAGGTAAGAAAGACTCTCCAAGATAATTAAATTATTGAACTCTCTTTTACATACTAATTTAAATAAAGGGTAGAAACTGACATATTTGGTAGAATTAATTTGAAAAGTTTATGCTATCTTTAGCAGTTAAAATATCTTCTTTGCTTTTGAATGCAGAAATTTTCCTCAAGGAACCATCAGTGACATGGTAAATGATACTTGTCAGGGGATTTCCTTCGTCATTAACAACATAGCTACTTATGGAGGTGACCCTAATAGGTGACATTCTACTACCATGCATGACTCTTTTTCATATGATATCTATATACATTGAGATTGATATTTCCTTTTGTTGATTATGTAATAGGATTTACCTTATGGGACAATCTGCTGGTGCACATATTTCGTCCTGCGCTTTACTGGAACAAGCAGCCATAGAATCTGGAAATCGAGATGGTGTTTCTTGGAGCGTTTCCCAGATAAAAGCTTATTTTGGTTTATCAGGAGGGTAAGATGTTTTTTCAAAAGTCCCTGTTGGCATCTTCTGCAATAATACTAGAAAACAGTCATTTTCAATAATATATCTCAGTTCTTTTTGGTTTGTCTAGAAGACAGACAGACACATTTCTTTCATATAATTCCATGTTATCCATTGTTAATGTTATTTGTCTAGAAAACCTAGTTGGGGGATAATTGCTTATAAGTTCCTGTTTTTTGAAAGAGAACCTGACATAAAACAACCATGAAATTTAAACAAAAAAAGGAATAGAAATGAGGGAACATTAGGTGATAAAGGACTAACAAGTGCATGAGATATAAGCGTTGCAGAGAAGAGAATATTGTGTTGGATAAGTGGCCACATTAAAAAAGATAATAAAAAAACGAATGTATCTGAGAGAAATCAGAACTGGTTCCTAATCGGGAAAAGATGGTAGATTATGCATACAATGAATTGAGCGCAAACAGAGTTTTAGTTAGAAATGTTGGTCAAATAGAGGATAGCCACATTGGGTATATCAAGAACTAGAAAACTCTTATATCAAACCAATAAAAAATATTTAGATCTAAATAAATCATCTGAAAAGTTAGTTTGACAAAACACAACGACATTTGGACAGGACAATGAAGAAACTAGACATAAAGACAACAACATCATGTGATCCACGAGCTGATACCACCCACCAGGAAACTTATTTGTTTTTTATGTTGAGAAAAGTTTTCTGCCTTAGCTGACCATATTGCTGATTTGATACCCATTTTCCTCTGTGGGCGGCGGTTTCAGATCCTGAAAGTATATTCAAAATCCATTCCTGCGATGGGAAACGCTCGTGGTGACTTTTATTATCAAACCATTATGTTTTGCGAGAGCTGGTTGATTCTCCAATCTCCTATTAAGTTAGTCTCACAACACTTAGTTACAGCCTATAAGTGTTTACAGCATATTTGCCATATACCTGGACGTTCCAGAGTAGGAGTTTGATGCACCATATTTTAGCCGAAGACTCCTCTTTGAGGTGCTCAATACTGGAAAAGAAATCTTGAAAGGAATTATGTTTAGGGACAATAGCATGTTACATGTTTCAATAATCAATTTTATGTTAACTTTACCGTTCACAAGGCAAAGAGATTTAGAAAACGGGTTTCAGGCTTGTTTTGTGAGAACAAGTCCAGTTCCTACTGACAACTGTCCTGCTGAATTGTGCTCCCTGATCAATTGGTTTATATATGGCAAAGGATCATCAGTTAACCCTATCAACATCAACATATGTGCAGATACAACTTATTGGATTTAGTTGATCACTTTCACAACCGTGGCTTGTACCGTTCCATCTTTTTAAGGTATGTCCCAAATAACTTAGTTTCATTAAGGCCGTGGTGTGTTAAATTATTGTCCAATCCTAATAACTTATTACCACTGTAGTATAATGGAAGCTGAACAATCTTTGAAGAAATTTTCTCCCGAAATCAAAATTCAAGACTCGTGCATCAAAGATTCTATTCCTCTCTTGCCCCCTATGTTTCTCTTCCATGGAACCGGTGATTATTCCATACCATCAATTGCCAGGTCAGTGTGCAGGCTTGAACTTCATTGATGTCATGCCCTTTTACTTCATTTGAAAAACTACTACAGGTCTTAATGATGAACTTTCAAGCTGTTTGCAGTGAACGGTTTGCTGATGCTCTTACAAAGGCAGGGGCAAGAGCTGAGCTGATTCTATATGATGGGAAAACACATACAGATTTATTTCTTCAAGTAAGTTGAAATTTATGCCAAATTCTATCTGTCTAATACAAAAATAAATAAAATTTTGTTGTCTAATAAGCTTCTTGTTTTCAACTATGCTGCACAGGATCCACTACGAGGTGGTAAAGAGGACCTATTTGAACATGTAGTTTCTATAGTACATGCCAATGATAGTGATGCTCTTGCAAAGGACGCCACGGCACCGCCAAGAAAACGGCTTGTTCCTGAGATTTTATTAAAGTTAGCTCACAATATCAGTCCCTTCTAAGATTGTTACTGGCTGGATTATCATCCTCTATGGCATAGCTTTTTCTATATTGTGTTTTTGTATTTCTTATTCTTAAAGTCCTCTGGTTTTAGTGTATATGTATACCTCAAACTCTATTTATTCTGTCACACACACCATATTTATTGAGGGCATAGTTTAAGATTCCTTAAAACAGAATATAGATATAGCAATAACTATGTTGTGTTTCAAGTAACTTTAATCTGATTTCCATTAAAAATTACAAAAGTTTAATACTATAATGGTATAAAAATTTATATATGTTATCTTCTATCTATCATGATTCCTCGTGTACAATGTATAACTGGATTTTCTTTGACGAAAAATATACAGCAGAATTTCTTGTGTCAAATAAAAAGAAAGATCAATTTTCTCAGTCTCATTTATACTTTTAAAATTCAGATTGAGTGCAGTTTAGACAATCAACCTCTTTTCATATATTCGCATTTTATTCCGTGATATGAATGCTGTTTTTAAGAAGATTGAGTTTGTCATCTAAAAAGGAGTAACAACAAGCTAGCATTCCATTTGTGTAATCATAAAAAGTTTTTTTTTTAATAAAATCTTTAAATATAATTTACATTTACAAGAAAATTATTATATTACTACATGTTAATTACATGTATGATATTTATTACCTAAGTAAATGGCTAACTATGTTACATGAATATATTTGCTACAATTTCCAAGTCAATTTCCATAGAAAGGATTTGTAAAATACCCATCATTGCTTGAAGTTGAAGTAACCTCTACCATAGGTGTTTTTCCTTTGTCCTTAGCATACAAGTCTATTTCCTCAAACATGTTTGTCTCTCCTTCAATACTGCTTTCACTAGATGTATCACTCAATGTGTGGAACATTGTCAACTTCTGATTCTTTTCACCTTGAAATGAATAGCCTTTTGCTTTTCCAATTTGTAAAGGAAGCATAGATTTTTGTTGTGTGTTAGTCCTGTCCCTCCCTAAACTATAGGTAGTTGATAACTTCCTATCTATGCATTCCTTTTCTCTTACTATATCACCCAATTTCCGGTAAACTTCATTGTCTACTGATTCCTCTGCAGCTTTTTTCTCAAGCTCAGTAATTGTCTTAACCAAAGCTTTCTTTTGGAGCTGAAGAGAACACTGAAAATGGTCCAAAGGGTGTAAACATGTGAGTTATGAAAGAAGGTAGGTTCTTACTTGGTGAAGAAAGACGGTCTAATTATTGAGAATCGAGAATTTTTAGATAGGTCCATAAACTCGTCAATAATTTATAACTTATTCTTTGAGCTTTAGTTAAGTCCATTAGTCCAAAAACTTCTATATACTCAGTCCTTGATTTTGAGCGACCCAATCGTGAATTACTTAAAAGTTCGGGAACTCAATTTCAAATTATGGACAAGTTCAAGAACTACGAACAATTTTAGTTCGTTAAACTATTTAAAAATCGCAAATAGTTTAGAGAGGCCAACAAAGTAATTAAACTAAGAAAGAGTGAGAAGAAGGAGAACAAGAACAAAAACGTAAGGATATCGACTTACTCGCTTGTCGAGGAAACTTCCAAGGCCTTGATCTCGAAGTTTCTTTTTTGACCAAAATGTACAGCAGAATCTTACGAGTCCAATTAGCAGCACCAACATACATGACTCGAACAGCAGAAACAGTTCTATAGTCCTTTCATTGCCTGAATAGATGTTGACAAGCTTATTCCTTGCTTGAGAGCAGCTAGACGCAAGCTTCTGACCTATGAAGTGATCAAAAATCACTTTTACATAAATTTGTTCTTAAAATATTGCAAACTACAAGGAATTCTAATCATAATAGATGGAAAAAAATATAGCAGGTCGAAATTTGATGATATGACGCAACGTGTTTGTTTAGGATTTGTGATTAAAGTAGTGGTAAAAAAAGTGACTATTTATCTAATGGCAGTATAGAAAAGATCTTTACCGAAAGTTCGGCATGGCAGCGGGGTATCCACCTCTGCATTGAATGTCAGGACCAAGCTGTTAGTTCATTCAAACAAACTACTTTGCTATGTTGAGATATTTCATATAATCTAATAGCTACAAGCATATAACTTGCAAGAAATGTTTATGGTATAAGTGTTTATGTATTTGCGCGCTATTTCTATAAATAAAGAAAACATCAAGTCCAATTATGATAATTTTAAGAGATTGCACTCTTACTTGAGGCAGCAAGAAATGTAAGAAGAATCTCCTCATTCACAACAAATTGACTTAGATCACTCTTGGATAATAAAGTTGAAACTTGACCTGAGTTGAATCAAATCAATCAATCACTTAGAAAATAAGAAACATTTCTTCTATGCAGTGAGGAAATGAAAATCAAAAACAAGTACCAGGATAGACTTCAGACCAGTAGATTGATCCAGTTGCAGGAACCAACATAGTGAAGATTGCAGCTTTCGGCCGAATTGCCGAAACAGAAGTGTATTCGCCAATACTGTGGCTAATTTTTCCTTCCATCTCTATTTGTGAACTATAGACAGCAAATCCAGAACAATCAAGAAAAGGACCAACTTGAACAATAGAGTTCTCTGTATTTCTTCTTGAGAATTTCTTTAGTACCCCGGTTGGCGAAAACGAGTAAAGAAATCCATCCAATGAACCAATAGATATCCATCCTGTTTATATACCAGTATCGTTAAATTTATAGCGTTAAATTGTAGCATAATTTAAGCAAATTGTTATTGTTCCGTGATAAGCTGCTTAGCACAACCTGTTGTCAAATAGCAGCATTGTCGCATAGCGAAATTTGAAGAAACTACTATTTTTTGCGATTCGCGGTTAATAACACTATTAAATACTATGAAGCACGGACTCCGACACGCACACAAGAAGTGGCTTACCATTAGAGTCCACAACAGGAGCACAGTCAATTTTGCTTAATGGCCCAACACTACCCTGCCACAAGATATTACCCGAAAAGACATCGATAGCTAGTACAAGAGCTCTTGTTGGCACTGTTACATACAGATGACCATTGTTTCCAGGAGTTATGGTGAAATTTTTGTCTAATGAACTAAAATCTTGTATCCATCTAAAGTCGCGGCCACGGACCGATAAACAATATAGTTCTCCTTCCGTGTTCGCAATCTGCAAAATGGAAAAACATATTCTTTCAAAGAGGTCATAAGAATAATCCAGGGAAACGACATGAATGGTTTCATATTTAACATGAGTAAGTCTTACATAAATACTAGCCTCGCATTGATCAAGCATGGGAACTGATGAAAAGGAACAATCTGTAAGATTTTTCTTGCATCCTTGACGGTAACCAAACTGGTAAAGCAGAGGTCCTACACTCCAAAGTAAACGTCCTTGTGGTTGATATGCAAAAAGTCCGTGATTCTTGATATTGATGAATACGGTTGAGCTTAATGTGCTTACTGAGAGTCCAACAATTTCAGATTCTGCCTTTTGTCCTGGTTCTGGACCAAAGAAAAGTTCTACTGCAGGCTCAGAAGTTTCTACGTTTCCATAATTAATCTTCAATATTCTATTTTCAGCTACCAAGTAAATCTGCAATTGCCTTACAAGAATTAATAACCACCATCAACATAGCAATAAAAAAAGCATTGATTCTCACCATCGTCATATAATATCATGACTAATGACAGTAAAATACTATCTTTTTATTCCTCTAGGCCTTTGTTTCGAACTGCGGTTGACAAATCTATAAAAGCTACAAACTGTACACTAGGAGGAGTCAGATGCATTGACACAGACACCGTACACGACACCAACACATAAGTGTAAGTGATATCTTAAGATAATGATGTGACTCAATGTAACCACATGTGCCGGTGTGAGACCCTGAGTAAGCTTTTAACCTGAAGTGTTGATGCTACACATATTAATTCTCACCACCTTCATATTATCATGATTCATGACAAATACCAACTTTTCAAAAAGGTCATCTAGATCAAGGTATAGGATTGGCCCCATGTAAGTCTCACCATCATCATATTCTTGGTACACTATATCAAAATTGAAGACAAAATAGCAAGATTCCTCGTTGATATAGGACTAACCCCAAATTTGGTGAAGGACTATGAGCTATCCCAGAATTATGCTAAAGAATCAGTAACATCATTGCATAACAGAAATAGATCAAGCAAAAAAGTAACCTTGCAACAGCAAAATCATGAAATCAACAAAACAAGACAAACAGTAGCTGTAAAACAAGAAATTGTTACTTCCTTGCAGTTCAATTATCAAAACAGAAACCCAACAATGATATGCAGAAAATAAGATTGATAAATGTGAAGGCACGGCAATGTAACATAATAAGAAACTCAGAAACTCAGAACATAAAATATTGACCACAAAAATTGACACAAACACAACACAACATTGACAAGTCAACATCAGTAATAATTTTTAAAATAGAAGTAATTCAATGTAATTATAAACCCTAAACCCGCAACATTGAATAGACACCAACACGACATTGACACTGACACCAACACGACATTAACACGCCAACATTACTCTGAGACATGTTGGACACCAGACACCCCTTCAATCTAAAATGTCACTACTAGCCAAAGAATAAGAATTGTCTCAATAACTTATTGCGGAATTCGCTATGATTAATGACAATTTTCGAACACTCGACATAATCAAATTCAAATCAAATCTATAAGACTAGCACCATATTCAAACGTAAATTAAAACAAAAAAGTGAGTCACCTTTTGATGACCGGCATGAAGAGGCGCCATATGAAGATTACATGTGTAGTCAACACGAATAGACCAAGCAATAGTACCATTGGTTTCAAATGCGAGAAAGGTTTTATGAGAACAAACATAGATTCTTCCATCATCTCCAATGAGAGGTTTTGAAAGCCAATGACGTGGAGAAACAGAGTGCAGAGAAGGAATCAATTGTAACAATACAAAGAGAAGGAGTAACAAAATCTTTGACATTTTTGTCAAATAATGAACCAAAAATTTGTAATTCATGAGAGAAACAGTAGTTATGAAGCAGTTTCATAACTAAAAAAAAGTTGAAGAGAAAAGTTCAAATATTTAAATAAAGGGATAAAAAGGGAAGGATAAATTTTTTATCTCATATAACTACCCCTACATTTTATTAAAAATGCCAATTTTACTCTGTTTTTTTTAATCATTTTATTTTTTACTTTTTATTATTTATGTTAGACTTTCGAGACCCAATCAAAATCGCATCGAAAGACTTCCATCATAATTTTAGGTACGTTATTTTTCTTTTTCACAAAACTTAGCTAAAAAATTCCAGTTTATCACAAAACCTGTACCGAAAGTCTAACCAAAAGAGTTTTGGTATTAGAACGCAAACATGAAATGTATCGAAACAGTTTTTTGAAAGTTATTTGGTGTGTTGTTTTTGTGTACTGGAACACATTTAGAAAGCTGTCCGGTTTAGTTGATTTTGTGTACCTAAACACTTTTAGTAAGACTTCTGGTTTGCTTTTTTTAAATGTATTTTTTAATAATTTTTTTACACTGCAGGTATGAAAATTCCTCCAAAAATATATGATAAAAATCAAATATGTGTAGATATTTTTGATGTTTTTTCAACTACTCAAAGATTTGATACACGAGAAGAGGTGATAAGGTGGACTAAAGAGGCTGGAATCCGAAATAAAGTAACTATTATTATTACTCGTTCAGATACTGAAACAGGTAAGAGAGGAAGAGTAAAAAATTAATATGTGGTTGTGATAAAGGTGGAAAATACAAGGATACTGATAGTGGAACCCAAAGTGCGACGAAAAAAAATATGGATATCCATTTAAAATCAGGTCGACTCCGACGAAAGATGATTCGGGATGGAAGGTTGATGTAAAATGTGGAGTTCATAACTATTGTTTACCTGATAGATTAGAAGGTCACTTCTTTGTTGGTAGGTTGACCACAGATCAAAAGCATCATGTTATTGATTTGACAAAAAGACATGTTCCACCTGTATACATATTACTTTCCTTGAAAGAGTGAGATCCAAAAAATGTTACTCAAATCACGCAAATATATAAGCATAAAAGTATGATAGAAAAAGAGATAAGAGGTCCTAAAAGTGAGATACAACATTTGTTTAAGCTTATTGAGAACACATGTTATGTTTATTGGAGTAGAAAAAGAGATGACTCGGAAGTTATTAGAGATATATTTTGGACCCATCCATATTCAATTAAGTTGTTGAATATTTTTCCTATTGTGTTAGTTATGGATAATACTTACAAGACAAACAAGTATAGGGAACCTCTGTTTGAAATTGTTGGCATGACATCAACCGAGTTGACTTTTACTGTCGCATTTGCGTATATGGAGTCTAAGCATAACGAGACTTTTTGTTGGGTGTTAGATAAGCTTAAACAATTGTTTGTCAAAAAAGATTTGCGTCCAAAAGTGATTTTGACAGATAGAGATCTTACTTTGATGAAAGCAATTGAAACAATATTTCCAAGGTCGATCAATTTGCTATGTCGATTTCACATTAACAAAAATGTTGGTGCAAAATACAAGCAATATGTGGTTAGTGACATGCAAAAGACGATCAAGGAATTATGAATGGAAGTTGTATGAGCTAGTGATGAGGTTGAGTATGATCACCGATTGCAACAACTTGAGCAGATGTGTGCTGATTGTAATGAATTTCTTGATTATGTGAAAGACACATGGTTGACACCACATAGATTGAGATTTGTTGGAGCATGAATTAATCGAGTGTTACATTTGGGTAACACCACGACTAATCGGTATGTATATTTTTATTAATATTTTTTACTATGTATTAATTTTTAGTATTTTTAAGTTGTATTTTTTAAAGTATTTTTAATATGTATTATTTTTAGGGTTGAGTCTGTTCATTGGAAGTTAAAGTAGATGTTGGAATAGTATAAGTGACATGGTCAAATGTTGGGAGGCTATGAATAACAACTTAAAGTTACAACTGGGCAACATTAGAGCTTCTTTTCAAAAAAAAATTATGAAGTTGAGCACGCGCACATAAGTCCATTTTATAGTAATTTATGTAGTTCAGTGTCTCGAGCTGCTTTGAGACGCATTGCTGAAGAGCTATTGAGATTTGATTACGTTGGAACTAACAGGAAAATATGTGGTTGTAATCTTAAAACATCTTATGGGTTACATTGTGCTTGTGAGTTAACAAGATACATACTTGGTGGTATACCGATGCCAATAGATGTTGTGCATGTTCATTGGAGGAAACTAAGTATGGAAGTTGAGTTAAAGGTAGATGTAAATGATGGATCAGAGGTGGATATGAGTAGTGCAAAAGATGAATTATGGAAAAGGTTTAGGACACTAGACGTTGTTGGGAAAAGGGCATTAAAAAGTAGAGTTTGTGAACTTGCCTACCCCACAATGACTTCTTTGTGTCCGCCACCTGAGAAAATAAAAACCAAAGGGGGAGTTAAGAAGAAAGGCAAAAAATCAGTAGGGTATGATGTTTATAGGGACCCTTCGTATCATGAGTATGTTGATCAAGCATCTCGATCTTCACAGAGGAAATCTCAACCATCACAGGCTTCAAAGAAGTTGAAATTATCACAATCTTTCCAGAGACAATCTCAACCATCACAGAAGTAGTCAAAGTCATCTAAGGAGTTCATCCTTCAATTTTCTAATCATATTAGGTCATATATTGAAGATGTAGTTGATGTTGCATCAGATGGTAATTGTGAATTTAGAGTCATTGCTTCATTGCATGGATATGGTGAAGATGATTGGCCAATAGTTCGTCAAGACTTGGAGTTAGAAATAATACACAAGGAAATATCAAGTTTGTATGACAACTTATTTGGTAATCCGTTAGCAGAAGTGAGAGAACCTTTGATGATAGAGACATTTGGTCCTCAACCACCACAGAAATGGTTGACTCTACCAGATATGAGTTACTTGATAGCAAATCACTATAATGTTGTACTTGTCTCTTTAGGCAACCCTTGCTTGACTTTCTTCCCTATGACAAGTTCATATCCACCATATGCCTCTATTTTTTGCATTGATTTTGTAAACCAAAATCATTGGGTTCAGGTACTTAGTTATTGTAGTTAATATGACTAAATTGATTTAGTTTATTTTATTAAACATATGATTTAATGTTTTGATTTTTTTTTTATTCAGCTAAACATGAAATAAGGGTTTCCATTGCCACCAGTCACATTAGATTGGAAGAAGTTTCGTTCTCCAACAACAACATCTTGGATGCTAGGATTTGCAGGACGTCTACAACATTGGTAACAACTTACGCCTGTATTACCATGAATATGTAATCAAAATATGAATAACGAATTATGTCATTCAGTTTTAATTTTATATATCTCAATAACACATAACTAGATTCAAAATTAAACATAAGTCTAGTATTTAATACAAATGAAAAAACATAAACATATCTCAACTAGGTCAATAAGTCTAAAAGTTAACACATAAACATAAACATAAGACAATAAGTCTAATAGTTAACACATAAGCATAAACACAAGTCAATAAGTATAATAGTTAACATATAAACATAAACATAAGTCATAAGTCTAATAGTTAACACATAAACATAAACATAAACACAAGTCAATGTGAACGAGAAATACGTAAAGCTTCAAATAAATTAGCAAACTGTGGATCATCCTCTTCAGCATCAACCTGTTGAAGATAATGATGAATCAATGTAGAAACACGAGCCCAACTAGGATCATATGGTTCTGCATCGTAAACAGGAACCGGCACCTCTCTTGGCGCATCATGAGGGGATGGTACCAAACGAGGATGCGAAACACGATTATACCACTCAAGATATCTATCATATATCTCAGATGAGGTGGTGGTCAGTGCTGTCGGACAGATCACAACAAGGACGCTCTAATGGTAACCAATCTGCTCAACATCAATATCATCAGCCATCATGTAATCAGAAGGTGAGGGTGGAATATACTGCCTATATCCAAACCGACGTATACATTTGTCAGGAAAATATGGAACAACTATGTCACCCCCATTTCAGACACCCCCTGTACAAACATAACTCATCAAACTGACGACATACTCTATGATCCTCGAATGGGTGCCATATGACCTCGGTAGGTGTCAACTTGTCCAAAATAGGCCGCAACTCATCCACCTTTAGGACTCCTTACTTATAGGATCATCTCATCGCTCTAGGAAGACCACAATTATTAGCTGATATCCAATTTTCTTCTCTTTTTCCAAGTTTTGGAAAATACTCGTGATGGTTCCCTGTTTGTTTACCCTGATTGTTTTTTGTGATGGTTCCCAGAAGGTCATATATGAATATCTTCACTTCATGGAATTTCCAGAAGCTTGAATGTTGTTCTTGTTAGAAAACTCTAATGATGTTTATTTCGATAGATTTCTTCATAAAGAATCATCGTATGTCTTGTTTCGTGTGGATGATCTTCTTGTAAGAAGACTCCTAATCTTGTCTTGTTTTGTATGGATGATCTTCTAATAAGAAGACTCCAAAACCGGCAGCTATATTTTAAATTTTCTTCAGGTCATATTTGAACCTATTTGATAAATCACTTTGAATATTCCCCAATATTTGTTCCCTAACAATTTGTCATCCCCAGTGAGTCTTCACCCATTGTCTTTGAAATTTTTTGTGAATAATCGTTACCGTAAGTCTCCATCATTCCCCACATGTCTATCCATCACCCATCATAAAAAAATTATGCTAGGGTTCATTCTAGTTCACATTATATCCCCATCAAACAAAAAAAGAAGAGAAAAGTCTGTCAGTCCATAACATATCATTGCATCCAAGGGAAAAATTTGCAGGTCTTCTGTATTTAAATTCCTTTCACTCTGATCTCATGAGGATTATCATCACTCATGATATATGGTAAATATATTTAAATAAGGGCAACTGTCATACCTTAAATTTTGCCCCCTCCTAAAAAAATCAAATAATTTGCATTTCATTCATCTAAGTCCTCTGTCTACATTTCAGTTATCTGTATTTATTTGTTTATATCCATTTACTTGCATTCATTCATCTGTATGTGTCACGGTGAAGAATCGGAGACCAAGCTTTTGACTAACTTGACTCGCAAAACAAGATGTCACCACCGAACTTTTATTTTTTCCAATGGGAGGGGAAAAGATTGAATAATCCCACAATAAACAAACAAAGAAAAAAAACAAGGCTAAAAGCAAAGCAATAAAGACATCAAAGGTACGGGGGTTGGTTATACTAAGGGAAGGTAATAACATCCTAAGAATCTATAGTATCCTATAGGAACCTCTTGAAAGATTTGTGTTTGGTTAAAAGTGAATGCTAAAAATGATTGGGGAGATGAGAAAATAAATGTTTTTTTAATTTTTTATTTATTTGGGAAGACATAAAGTCTTGTGTCTATGTATCAATAAAGGATCAAAACCTCGTAGTTCGGGGTATAAATGCAAAAAGGGTTTGTTTTGATTGATTTTAATGAAGAAGAGACAAGTTGTCATCTTAAGGATAATACTTAACTAATCCACCACAAACATGTGGAAGATGGATCTCTGCATCACAATGAGAGAATGTCTTCAACTTGGATATAGAATCAACAAGTATGCCTCATAATTCTCTCAAGTGGAAAAGAATCAACATCATTCACAACAATGTTACGGGATAGGAGAATTGCATCTCAACAATAGAGATGACTCATGTCTAATCTTTTTTGAGAAAAGATTTTAAAGTGAAAAATCCAAGTGGCAAAAGTTTTGAATGAGGTTAGTGTTTTTTAGTCTTATGAAAAGAGTTTTGATATGCTTAAGATGTCTTGAAGCATTTATAAAGTAAAAGAAAGTTTGAAAATGAAATGACCTAAGTCAAAGTTTTTTATTGAAAGAGGTTTAAGTTAAAAAATGGAAATCTAAGGGAGCATGAAGCAAATGATGGGTAAAGGATACAACAAGACACACGATGGACATACACATGACAATAAGTCAACTATAATCTCTTTCCCTTGGATTTAAACACAAGTAACATAAAGATAGTAATCAAGGGTCACAAGACAAGTCTCAAGTGTTAAAGAAAAGGTTCATAAGAAAATCATAACTCAAGTACAAATCAAAGACTTAAATGGGAGAAAATGCTCAAATACAAGACAAGTCTTAATCACATGTAAGAATCTAAGCAAAAGAGAATACATGCCATGTTGTGGATAAAAATCAAAGCATAGGAGTAAAATATGTCACGGTGAGAGAACACTCAAAAGGAAACATACAAACATGGATCACATGAACACATAAGTTACTAAACTATACAAGAGACATGGTACGGCAAACATCAAGGCATTTGGAAATGATTCAACCACCAAAATAACTTCACAAGAAAATAGCTCAAGTAACCTCAAGTGAAAAAAAAACTAATCATGCATCAAGATTTAATATCTCAAGTGTACTATAAAGACATCAAGTCATTAGGGTAAGGCATCAATACATGACAAATATTTACATTCAAGCAAGGACCAAAGTCATTAGGGTTTTGAATAACATATTTTTTAGTCAAACTCTAAAATCAACTAAGACCTATCAAGAAGCCTAACATCAAGAGAAGCAAACAAAAAATAATGGAGTCAAGCATCAAGTGACATCATGAAGGGAAAAGATTGAATAAACCCACAATAAACAAACAAAGAAAAAAACAAGCCTAAAAGAAAAGCAATAAAGACATCAAAGGTACGGGGGTTGGTTATACTAAGGGAAGGTAATAACATCCTAAGAATCTATAGTATCCTATAGGAACCTCTTGAAATATTTGTGTTTGGTTAAAAGTGAATGCTAAAAATGATTGGGGAGATGAGAAAATAAATGTTTTTTTTTTAATTTTTTATTTATTTGGGAAGACATAAAGTCTTGTGTCTACGTATCAATAAAGGATCAAAACCTCATAGTTCGGGGTATAAATGCAAAAAGGGTTTGTTTTGATTGATTTTAATGAAGAAGAGATAAGTTGTCATCTTAAGGAGAATACTTAACTAATCCACCACAAACATGTGGAAGATTGATCTCTGCATCACAATGAGAGAATGTCTTCAACTTGGATATAGAATCAACAAGTATGCCTCATAACTCTCTCAAGTGGAAAAGAATCAACATCATTCGCAAAAATGTTATGGGATAGGAGAATTGCATCTCAACAATAGAGATGACTCATGTTTAATCTTTTTTGAGAAAAGATTTTAAAGTGAAAAATCCAAGTGGCAAAAGTTTTGAATGATGTTAGTGTTTTTTAGTCTTATGAAAAGAGTTTTGATATGCTTAAGATGTATTGAAGCATTTATAAAATAAAATAAAGTTTGAAAATGAAATGACCTAAGTCAAAGTTTTTTTATTGAAAGAGGTTTAAGTTAAAAAATGGAAATCTAAGGGAGCATGAAGCAAATGATGGGTAAAGGATACAACAAGACACACGATGGACATACACATGACAATAAGTCAACTATAATCTATTTCCCTTGGATTTAAACACAAGTAACATAAAGATAGTAATCAAGGGTCATAAGACAAGTCTTAAGTGTCAAAGCAAAGGTTCATAAGAAAATCATAACACAAGTACAAATCAAAGGCTTAAATGGGAGAAAATGCTCAAATACAAGACAAGTCTTAATCACATGTAAGAATCTAAGCAAAAGAGAATACATGCCATGTTGTGGATCGAAATCAAAGCGTAGGAGCAAAATATGTCATGGTGAGAGAACACTCAAAAGGAAACATACAAACATGGATCACATGAACACATAAGTTACTAAACTATACAAGAGACATGGTACGACAAACATCAAGGCATTTGGAAATGATTCAACCACCAAAATAACTTCATAAGAAAATAGCTCAAGTAACCTCAAGTGAAAAAAAAAACTAATCATGCATCAAGATTGAATATCTCAAGTGTACTATAAAAACATCAAGTCATTAGGGTAAGGCATCAATACATGACAAATATTTACATTCAAGCAAGGACCAAAGTCATTAGGGTTTTGAATAACATATTTTTTAGTCAAACTCTAAAATCAACTAAGACCTATCAAGAAGCCTAACATGAAGAGAATCAAACAAAAAATAATGGAGTCAAGCATCAAGTGACATGATCATAATTCATCAAGACATTCAATCCTAAGACATGACCAAAGGTT